CGTATACCGCTTCTACTATGATATTCGGAATCAGCATCAGCGATTACATATGTCTATAGATCTTTTGAGCAAAAAGAGAGGGAATACTAGAGAATCTTCCCCTGTGTGTCCAGCTACAGTTTCATGGTGAAAACACGAGATGATTGAATGATCTTTTGAAGTCAGTGAGCAGGAGTAGGAACGTTTTTTATTGCAGTAATCAGTTCAACGTCACTGATACCAAAGTGACTTCAAACATCGCATGAATTCAACGTCGGTAATACATCAGAGTAGTCATCAATCGTTTTATTTATCAGTTAATCTTGGTTCATGTGACCGCAAATGCTTTTCTTTCTCTAGTGGTGGAAATTTAAGAAAATTAAGTGCTGCTGTAGCATTCATGGCAAATCCACAAGTGGTATTTTTGGTATGAAAGAAGTTTTCTTCGTCCGGTTTGGTTTTCACTCTTTATTATTTTGTTATCAAAACCAAAAGGACGAACCAACCACAGGTTTGGATGCTGTAGGAAAACGTAAATTATGGGGAATAATTAGAGCTGGTCGAAATGAAGGACTAACTGTTATATTGACCAGTCATAGGTATGAGTATTTCATTCTGCATCCTCTTTTCTTTATGGTACCGAGGTTTGCTTTTGTCGCAGTATGGAAGAATGCGAAGCATTATGTACACGAATTGGCATTGTTATCGNGTTTTGAAATATCTTTGAGGTGCCTTTGATCTGAGCGAGAGCTCCTTGTATACAAATTTTAGAAGTATTTTGACTGCAGCTCAGCAGAATGGAAGAATGCGAAGCATTATGTACACGAATTGGCATTGTTATCGAAGGTCAATTTCGATGTATTGGGGAATTGAATCATCTACGTAATAAATTTGGTCAATATTTCGGCAAAGGCTACATGGTTCAGGTTAATGTTGAAGAGGAAAATTTGGAAGAACTTCAACAGAATTTAACACAAGAATTTCCGGGAATTGAAATGGAAGGTACGTACGCTCTGTTTTGTAAGGAGTAAGAAGCTTCAGTCATCGAGGCGCACAGGCTGAGCAAACAACTTCTGTTCACGAAGTGCTTTTCTCGAAGAGATCCTAGATCCAAAACACAAAAATCAGAAAATAGAAGTCCAAAATCATACCTACGCCAACGCTTATATTACAGCATTTCTGATATTGAACTTTTTTATGATAGATCTATTGAAAGGCTTTTTCACTTTTTTATTCTCACATATCTTGGTTAAACGTAAAACACATAGACATATGTATAAAATAACAAAGATAATTCCTGAGAGTTGAACTAATGATGAAGTGTTCAAAGCAGATGAAGTGAAAAGCAGGGTGACAGTTCGGGACCGTGTCTCGTAAGTTCAATTGACTAATAAATCAGAACAGTACGAATCTCCCCAGAACATACTTCTTTTCGTTTCTTTTTCTTGCCTTCAGTGTTTTCATTATATATATATGTAGCCGCTGCAACTACCGTCTGTATTAAAGTTGAATGAACTCCGTTACTTTTTGAATAACTTCGGTAGGAATGAGACAAAGATCTGCGGTTTTTACCATCATGTTGCTAAGACCTTAAGACATGCAGAAGCTTGTTTCAAAATTTCCTGGAAGTCCGATTTTCCAGAGGATCTTTGGAAAATCAGCTCCATTCTCAGAAAACTAACATACAAGTTGGTAATTTTTTTGCATGCACAGATAGTCCGGACGTTACTCTACAAAATTATGAAAGTCCCAGTCCTCCAGCTATCGTCGTTTGGACAGGGCTCGCTTTTCCCGAGCACATGTCTATCTCGAAATGCCATGGAATATGAGTAATCGACTACACTAAGCATAGTGGCAACATTTTCTTTTGTGTAGAAATGAAAATATTTTGTGTTTCAGAAAAGGCAATGCCCAGCTGAAATACACCTTTTCGTGTTCGATTCTGATTTATGAGCTGTCCTGAGCGAACGAACCATCTGCGCATGCAAAAATATTACTAGGTTGTATGTTAGTTTTCTGAGAATGGAGTTGATTTTCCAGAGATCTTCTGGAAAGACTTTCAGGAAATTTTGAAACAAGCTTCTGCTTACAAAAACATGTCTTAAGGTCTTAGCAACATGATGGTAAAAATCGCAGATCTCTGTCTCATTCCTATTGAAGTTATTTAAAAAGCAACGGAGTTCATTCTACTTTGGTACAGACAGTAGTACCGAAGCGAATTAGCAGGTTTGTCCCGCTGCAGCCAGCCGTATCGCTAAATTTTACTCTTTTAATAGCTACAGTCAATGGAGAAGCGGGCGCTTCTTCAGTAAGAGCAACTAGCTTATTTCTTATGAAATTTCGTGCTTGGGTAAAAGCAGTTGGATGAAAAAAATTTCTAAATGTACTTTTGAAGTAAAGTTGCTCCAAAAAAAAGCACATGTACAGTTTCACTGTTTTGTCTCTGTTTTAGTTCTTCAAAATGGTGTTTTATCATGTAATATTCCGTTGAATACAAAGGATATTGAATATAACCTGGCTGACATTTTCAAATTATTTTATGGTAAAAAATTAGCAAAAACCATTCGCAGTTATTCCATATCACAAACCACATTGGAACAGATTTTTGTTCTCTTAGCCAAAGAACATGAAGATCGAAATAGAAGAAAATCATCAATTATTAGTCTCGGTGTTCCTATTCGTATGAACCAGACTTCAGCTAAAAGTATACAAATCGGAGTGAGTGCAAGACAAAAATCGGGTGAAACGGGAAAAATAAGTCGACAGACAACAATTGATAGTAATCACAATGAGAAAGTTCATGCAGCGGACATTGAAGAAAAAACTACATTATGAAGTTCATTGAATATCATTGTCGTCTGACATTTTAGTAAAAAAGCTTTTTGTTTGTGTGATTCTGTAACGCACTTAGTGCTGCTTCTTACCTTTTGTTTCTTTTTTCGCATTTAGCGATAAAAACCCTTTTTAGCTGTGATAACAAAGTGGTGAAAAATATCTTTTTACAAGTGTAAAAGACGCATGCATATTTTTTGAGACCGGTGATTTTATTAGTGATCTAATAACCTAAAAGACTTTGTATCTAGAATAAACTGTCTTAAAGCTTTTGGATTGCTATGAGAGACAATGTGTTTCGGGTTTAGAAGACCGCACTTTTCTCGCTATGCTTTCAACTGTCTAGTGATATATGTGTATATTGTGCAACGCACGTATGTCTTTTGAAATAGATCCATATCTTGTGTATTTTACTGATATCTATTTCTTACAAAATAATCGGACATTATTCTTTTCTTCACATTGGTCACTCATTCATTTTGATAAACTATAAGGACTTGTTTATTGAAACAGATGCTACGGGCATATTACCCTCTGTCAACAAGAAACCAATAATGTTTGATTCATTATTCCTTCTTAAATCTTATTCTGTCCTGTTATTGTTATTAAATGAACGTATGCCTGAAAAATAAATCTCAAGTGAAGAATGGAAGATAAAGTTGTTTTGTTTACCCGCTTTAAACTCATTTTTTTGTACTACTGCTAATGATTTAATCTTAATTCAGTTGAGGAATTGCAGAGGTCATGTCGAGGTAAAGAGAATGATTGATTTTAGGAATGCTATTGCCTGTTACTATATCTGATTTCAATAAAAGAAACCATAAGAATAGTAATAGAAATATATCACTAATCTGATATAACAGAAGATGTTCTAGCCAAATAAGAGATTTACTATCTATCTCTTTATGTTGGGAACAGCCCATGGTACATCAAACAAGCTTAGATCTAAGTACGCGTTGTAACAAAAAAATAAACATTCGATTTAAAGTTTCTGCCGAACATAACTATTAACTAAAAATAGCGAAAATGAGAAGTAGCGAGAGAAATGGTTTTCACATATAAAATTAATTTATAAGACAAAATAAGTACATTACATATAGATTACACTTTAAGCAGTCACAGTCAGAAGTGATACGTTCCCGTTACTTTACTCTGAAAAGTTAGTACTAGTAACGGGTAACTAAAATCTGTTACCCGTTACCAGTAATGGTAACCAAAGTCGTTACCTGTTCCCAGTAACGGTAAGGGAAATACTTACTTTTCAGAGTAAAGTAGCGGTAAAAGATTCTTTTTGTTGTTGCGACAACTTCGTATTTATTTTGTTGAACTTCTATAACTGATGAAAAAAAGTTTTCTAAGCATTTCATGTTTCTAGCTTGAAAACCGTGTCAAATCTAAGATTCAGTTAATCTGACATAGCAGTATAACTGAATACTAAATTAACCGCCGAGGTATGGTCAATAGTTAATTACGGAGAGTTCAAAAACACTTGAAGAAAAAATTTATGCAGCGGACGAGGATCGAACCTTGACTTTGTCTCATCACCATCGACGAGTGTGCAGTCCATTCTACCATCAGCGCTTATCGTTAGATATATATTTTTTTTTTACTTATTGTGTTCTTTTCTTCACTAAAGAATTGGAAAGGACATGAGAAATGCGTCTTATATCAAAACCGAACTGTATATTAGAGTGTGCTTTTACCACCCAACTAACAAAAATTTATCCTTTAATCCAATGTTTCTATGAGTTTCAAACGGCTAACAATTGAATGAACGGATTATTTCAACGAAAACAAAAAAATCGTCCGTCTCTTTTCCGGAAGTAACAAGAGTAACGATTTTCTGTTATTCGTTACAGTAACGATAAAGGAAAAGTGCGCCATCCCTAGTCACAGTATTGCTCCCCTACCAACGTACACTCATCTTGCTTACAAACGAAGAAAATAAAGATTTGAAAATAGAAAAGAAATTAAAATTTTTGAGAGAATTGATGGAAACAACTTTTTCTGGGTCTTTAACATTCTAGTCTTTCGCAGTCCTCCAAAAGAAGGATGACTAGACTGATAATAGTGAGACTTGTTAAGCGTTGAACCGCCTCTAGTGGCTCAAGATGTGTGGTAAATTTAGAATCATAAAGAGCACTACTATAATTGGCTTTCGGTAAAACGCATGTAAGGTATAAAACTAAGCGAATTGAAAGAAAAGTAGAAAACATCAGCAATGCATAACTCAGCATCAATACTTTTCCTTTTTTCACAAAAAAACTCGCTTGCCTATTCTAAAGGATTCACCGACTATTCGGCGAACGAATATATCCTGAGTGGTGTTACAAAATCCAGTCGTTATTAACAGTTTAACCCCTTGGACTGTTAAAGATAAGCCACAATTTAACGTGGACAATCGACCATCCTAGATTTCTTCCAACATAGTGGACTTCTTTAAAGCAAACATTTTCATGAATTTCGACGAAAATCGCAGGTCCTAAAGTTGTTGCGTTACTGAGATATTCAATTTTTTGCAAGCTCAAAAATGTACAAATTCCGGCATCTAAGGAAACTGTCAACCTGACAGTTTCCTTAGATGTACGTACATTAAATGATTTAAAGTACGTACAACTCTGTAACGACACATTACTTAGACTTAAGAATTCCATCATAACTACTAGATAGTGTCTACTACAAATCCACACAGCCGCGAGCTCCAAACATGTTTTCATTCTTTTACAGTAGACGTTGCCGTGAGAGCCCAAAGCATCGATCCAGTTATTTCGGAGAAAACTTCTCTCTCGGAAAATGGAGAAAGGCTCTCACTCCCTATGATATTGTTAGAGTACACTACGTATACTATCATGACCTATGAGGGGATCTTTGGGATCTTTTGAAAGCCCTCGAAAAAAAAGTGAGGTTTCTAGGAAACCAACCATGAAATGTTTCAATTGAATTTGGAATTTTCACATCAACCATTTTACAGCGCACACCAGGCTACACATGTCAAGCTATTTTTTGATTAATTTTCACTAACACTACGGTTACACTACGCAGATAATCACAACTATCTTTAATCGTGATTAAAGTAGTAGTGTAACAGATACCTTTATCACGATTATTAAAAATTCTCAATAGGATTGTATTGATTTTCTTCCATGCTATGATAGCCCAGGGTACCTTCTTCAAAATGAGAGTCAAGCAAGACCTTGGTTTTCCGCGGTTCGGGTATTGTGTCGGATTTCTTGCGAGTCCCAGGACTGGCACCCGGTGGACTATTGGTAACCTTGAAAACAGCTGGACTATAGATAATCGATCATGCTGAGTCTTGTGGCAATATTTGTTGTTAGAAAAAGTTCTAAAAGTCTACCGTTCTAAAAGTGAGTTGTACGAAAATTTGGATTTTCAAGCTGTTTCAACTACTAAAAAGTTCACTTTTCACTCAATAAACATCGGAACGAGTTCAGACCTTCAGAACTCGCCGCTATCATGATTCTTTTTTCGATAGAGGCGATTAAAGATAATCATCTTCCTAACATGATTATCTCTACTTATGATTTTCAAAATAATCGTGATGAAAGTAGCGGTTACACTACTACTTTAATCACGATTAAAGATAATTGTGATTATCTGCGTAGTGTAACCGTAGTGTTAAAAAAATTTACTTGAAGTTTGCATTACGTGCATCTTACACAATCCAATTGAGCAGAAAAAATAATGTTTATCTTAATATTTTGAAGGAATTGCGAGTTCTTTTGAGCGGGTTATGAGTTTCTTAATTTTTGATGAAAATGGCTCTACAAAAACAAATCTTTGATGGGTTATTATCTGGATTGAGACCGTTGAAAAATTGCGCGTCAGTAGTCTATTTTTATTCAATTTAAGAACGTTTTTGATTCTTCTTCAGTTAAATGAATAAAAAACGTATAAGTGGAATCTGGTAAAATATAACTGTATATACTCGAAGATAAGAGAGAAAGCAAAAAGCAGTGAACAAATATCCCTCTAGAGCAGAAGAGTACAGTATGTATCTTGTGTCCTGATTCATCAATGAATATCATCATGCTTGGAGTTTGGTATGCAACTGCCAATGTTGATAATACAGAATCGGATGATGGTGATGGCGTAACACAAAAAATAAAAAAGCAAGCAGCTTGTGCGAAACACGTGGGTTGTGGCACGTTTCTAACGATCTTCGTCTTCATTATTTGAACGGTAACCACGTTCATTTGATCGTCGTCCATTTGCATGTCGTTCATTTACTCGTGGCTGTTGGAATAGATTTGTTGCTTTGTATAGTAATGGTAAATATGGTTGTCCGTATGGTCCTGTTGGGGGCATCGGAACTGTGAAAATAACTGATGGTGCCTCTATTTTGTCGCCTGATACATTTGATGAACCTTTGAGCCATCTTTGTAACATTTTTAATGTTTTAATTTTCCTTTCGGCAATTAATTTTACCAATAAATAGGTTGGAACTAATGCCAAAAGTGCAAAACAAAACAATAGTAAGATGTCACGCCAATTGCTGTGAACTCTTCCATTTTGTTCGTGATAATGATCTTTCAAATGACGTGTTTTCTCGTCAAGTGCTGCATTGACCACGACATGGCAATTATGTTTGTCCGTTACTGTATCTGTTACAGTATCTGAATCCGTTTCCGTTTGAGAGTGTGTTTCTGTTTTACCAAAAAGCATTGTTAGTTTTTAGTGATTGCTTTCCATTGTAGGTTGGCTAAAGAAGTGAATAAAAATGAACGTACATGTATACATTTTTTATTCATTTAACTGAAGAAGAATCAAAAACGTTCTTAAATTGAATAAAAATAGACTACTGAAAACGCGTAATTTTTCAACGGTCTCGATCCAGGTAATAACCCATCAAAGATTTGTTCTTGTAGATCGTTATTTTGAGCGAGTTATGAGTTTCTTAATTTTTGATGAAAATGGCTAACATGGCACAAAAAGATATAATCTTTTGATTAAACTTCGTTTTCTAATGTGCCTGTACAAAAAAAATCAAGATTTATTTTAGTTGGTAACAGAGATTGTCAAGAAGTTGCTAAACTAGCTGCTGATACTAAATAAGAAACCGTTCATCATGAATTATTTGGATTCTAAGTTTTCTGATCAGTTTATTCTTTCAATACATGCGAGGGGTGTCAGAATATCAGTACGCAGTGTATTCTCAAAAAGACACTATTTCCTGGGCTTCATGTATTCTCATTGACAATACGCAAATGTTGCATAGTGGCTCACTCTCATGCTGCATATATGATTATGAAACGGGAAGCCGCCTAAACCCGAACAGAAAAATAAATGAAAATTAACGGTCAAATCCACAATCAGCATATTTAGGTGTTGGCGTTACGTCAAATGTCATTCCATTTCGGTAAATTGTTAAACTGATTGAAATTGATTCTATAAAAAACTATCGAAAGATGCCTAGAATGAACATTATCCCACAAAGATGACCGATTCGTGACCTTCACTGCAGATAAACGTAGTTTGTGAAATTAGTCGGTCTAGGCTAAGATAAGTAGAAAACAGAAATAAGGCAAATATTTTGTCACATAATTAAAGTTTCTCATTTCTTTAGATTCATCCTCCAACATTCAAACTAGTGCTAATTCGTGATACAAGTCCGGTTGTTTTCACATCGCGTATGAACCAGTTCGGCATTAATTCAATAAACCCACTACCCGACCTATCAAGGTCACGTAAATCATCTAAAATAGCTGATGTTCCATAATACGGATGTTCAATTACTTTTCCTTTGAAATTGTGCCCTAGTGTAACACACTCAACACCGTTAACGATGACGATATGGTGACTGTCAAGGGCGAAATTATATACTTCTGCACATTTAATTTCTGTTGCATTTCCAATATCACATGGGAATATCCAGTTACCATTTATTCGAACAGGATGCCATGGCGAAATGATCAAACCACTGTCAAAATTAACCATATCCACTTTACCATTTGAGCATATGCTTTTAGCAACATACTTCACAGTCGTACCATCCAAAGAGTTCGCCGTCTTTAAAACATCTCCTTTTCGAATGTATTTGACTAACTTGGTTGATCCATTAGCCAATAAAACAAGGCAGTCACCGTGAAAACAACCGGCACTTGCATTGTAAAAGTTGGTCATTTGAATGGGCGAAGCCGATCGCTGACGAACTGAAGGCTTTGGTGCTGGTAGTTTACAAAATATATCATCTATTTCATCTCGAAGTTTATTAAATAATTCACCACCATAATGTTGTACGCCAGGATCTTTGAAGTTATTGCAGATTTGTAATAAATGAGCTCGAGTAAGCGAGGGTAAATAATGTTTCCCCCCTGAAACAGACAGAGATAGAATTGTTAAAAATTACAGTCAGCTAAGTGTCAAGCAAATGACTTACATCGAGCAAACCACTCTTGTTTCGATAGTGACTCGTACACTTGGCCAGTCAAATCTTTCACTAAATCGATTATAAATGGATCATTTTGAACGGAAGATGATTTTATTTCTTCTTCGAATGTCTTTATAGTCTTTTGAGCTGTTTCTATACTTTTAAATTCCATGTAGTTCTTTGCCATTTGGACTTGCTTGACAAATTCCAAACGTTGTTGATGAATCATTATATCTCTCGATACCATCCCTGGTTGAGCATCCATTGTATCTGCATGTACCATACAGTTAACAATAACTTTCTTCGATTGGGATGTATAGTTCAATGACACCGTCAAATACGGAGAGTCGAGATGATCTTTCGACGTTGTAATCGGGATAATTAGATCTTTGCTTTGGCCGTACATAATAGATCCAATATGAAATTTCTTTCCTCCGTCGTCAGACTTTTCAGAATTATACCATGCTGTATAGTTATCTCCAAGAAAAATGTGCTCGTGCGTCGGCTTTACTTCTAATGAAACATTTGTAGCAACAGTGGTCAAGACACCGCTCAATGCATTAACAAATACCGTGCCAACAAACCCACCGTCGGGGATGAATGAGTATGTTCCTAAAAATATTTAAAAATCCAATGTAATCGGCTAATAACACATAAACGCTGATTTCGGTTAAAAATGAGTAACTCCTAATAGATGAATTCAGACACGTTAAAATGACTCGTCTAAATTACGTATCACTGCGTGCCAGGGCTTGATGGCTCCGGATGCATTAGACTGAAAACTTTTTGAGCTTATGGATCCGGACCGGACTTGAATAATCAGTAAAAAACATGTTATTTTTGTATTGTGGACTGAAATGGACTACTTTTTAGAGCCCATGGACTGAAAAAACTGTTTTCATGAATTCGACCTGAACTGGGCTCAGAATTTTGGGGGTTAATACGGAGCTCTGGTAGCTAGTACCACCTAAAACGAGCCATGTCTAGGGACACTGTATCTTGTTCGAATAAGTGTATTTGCAGGAGAAAATTAGCAGATAAAGTCAAAGTTTGACACTATTATTTCTTTTCATTTATACTAAGTATGCACCAGTTAAAAACTGGTGATAGGTATACTGGATAACGGCTATAATCTGATTACGAAGAATTGCCAAGAGTTGTGGAATACCCAAGAGGGGGGGGCGGGGGGGGGAAAGCTCATTTAGACAACAAACATTAGAAAAGTGTCGAAGCTGTTTGCGACATTCTAAAATTTATTAATCGTGGAAAACAAACTGTTCGATTCCGTGATTTACTATATTTTAAAATGATTATATTCTTGTTCAAAGCACATTTAAATTTCTTTTGATAACTGATATTTGTAGTAGGGGTGTCACTTTGGTTTTATTGTTCATTTATAACAATGCATAAATGTAAATGAATCATTTATAATTAAAAAATAAAGATAAAATCGGCATTTATGTTTAAAAAATAAATGTAAATGAAGGAAAAAAAGATTTATCTTATTTTATAAAAATAAATGATTCATTTATATTTATTTCTTTATTTCTGTCTTTACTGTTAAATGTTGTTGTTGTATCTCTATCTTTATTAGATAGAAATAAAGGAATAAATACAAATGAATCATTTACTTTTATAAAATAAGATAAATCTTTTTTTCCTTCATTTATATTTAGTTTTTAAATGTAAATGACGACTTTATCTTTATTTTCCAAGTATAAATGATTTATTTACATTTATTTTCTAAAGTTACACTAAATTACCACCCCTAATTGGTCGAGCAAACATTTTTCTACAAAATGAGACATTCCACAACTCTTGTCGATTCTGCATAATAAGATTATAGCCGTTTTTCAGTATGCCAGTTTTTAACTGGTGCATACCTAATTTATACGGTACCCAAGCAAACTTCACGTATGGGAAAAATCTAGATACATTTCGTCTGTAATCGGGCGATACACGACTAGGTGTCATGTAGATTACTAGTTGGAGAAAGGACTTTTAACTAGATGCGTCTAAACAGCAATAGTTAAATCGATCGATTATCGGTCGATAAATTGATAGTTGCAACTAGGAGAAATCTAGCAATCGCTCGCTTACTAGATTTCCACTACCGTTAGCAAATAATTGCAGTCGAGTAAAAATCTAGTAATCTAGATGAATTGGGCGATACTAGATTTTTTCTGACGCTTGGGTGCATTGAAGTCAAAAAACTACTGTTTACCATTTCCTATCACGGCTATTTCTTCAAGTAATTTACTGTCAAGCTTATAACCAAAGCCAAATGTATTGATGACACATGAAAATCCAGTTTGCTCTTTATATAATTTTAACGCTGGTATATGACCTATTGGTGGTATAACGGTAGGAGCTCCATCCGTTAACAGAAACAGAGCAGAATTGCTTTTGTCTGATGATCCTTCCGAAAGAATTTGGAGACCAGTTTTAAGCCCATCCCAGAGATTTGTCGAACCATTTGGCGTTAAGTTTTCAATTGTGGTCAAAGCAGTTGTTTTACCCTCATTATCCATTTTCAATAATTGAAATACAGTGGCTGCACGTTCACTAAACGATACAACTGATAAGCGATCGGCCTCACGCAGACTATGAATAATTGTTTTCAGTGCATGTTTAACGATATCAAGTTGGGATAGACCATACTTTTCCACAGCATTTTGCTTATTTTTCATTTCAACCTCATCTTGCATTGAACCGGATGTATCGACCACACAACAGATGTCACACGGTGTCCGTTCAATTCCAGTTGGTGGTTGAACAGATATATGAGCGTAATTGTTTGAATACGTAACATCAACTCTCAAATCGACATCCGAAGCCAATCTTCCTTCACCAACATTCATCTGCTCTGCTTTAACATTAATCTTTTGGATGTTGCTGCTGTTTCTAAATTGTTCAATCGCCTCACGTAAAGTTTCATTCGGCGTTAGATCACCTATGCTTAACGGATTTTGGGTAACTGGTGATGTTGGATTTATTGATAACCAGTCATTGATTGCACAACGCTCATAATTATTTCCATCGAGGTCCATAACTGGATCGCACATAACACTGTGAGTTATAGGACAGAGAAAATTCTCGGGATAAATGACTAGGTATGGGCTACTCATGGTTCAACAATCTTAAATCGAAAATACAGAAATGATTTGAATAAGAAACAGTCAAGGACTATTCACTAAGGTAAAAGCTGAAGAGATATTCAAACTTTTGGCTGTCGGTAGTCCTAGAGTCAACAATAAAATAAAATTCTTTTTCGTTCGGCTTTCTTTTATACTGCTTTACGTAGCAGTACATTTGTTGATCACAAACGAATGACGCATAGCTACACATGGAAACATTTAACATGATGTCATTATACAAACAGAGATGAAGCAAAGGATTTTTTTTTGAAGAAGTCCTGAGTAAGAAGAAATAAGATAAATGAATGAATGTATATTACCAACTTCAATAATATCTGTTTCTAAACGTCACGGGCGAGAACGGTATTGTCACAACTGTGTAGCTTTTATTTTTCGTTCGTTCGCATGACCAAATGTTTGTTTATTGGAATGTTTTCGATCCTCAAGGGTACTATTCCTTCTGTTTTAAGAAAATTTTTAAAGTGCAGTGGAAATAACCTGTTATAAGACTGAAGTGGCCTCTCGATTTGAGATCTCTCAGTTCTATGCCCCATTTCAAGGCGAACAAAGAGTATTTTTGCCTTCACGATTGTGCAAGATCGTACGAGAGGTAAGAAGTGATATGATTCGTAACAGAGTTGGAACCGGCTGAATTTTTCCTAACCGAACCGGACGGTTCAGCTTTTCGAAAAAATCGGACGGCCTGTTTAATGCGTAGCTCAACCGATAAAAAACTGATCGATTCCATAGCAGATTAAAGTCCGGATATTGTGAAAAATCGATCTTTTGCAGAAAGCTAAGCTTGTGTATTTTCAAAATTTTCCTGTTCTGGTTATTTCAGTATAAACTTGTGATATTGAGCACGACGTTCAAGCCAATACGAAACGAAGAAAAATTCGCGGACTAATTTCTGATGATGTATGAAACTCAGTGAGAAAAAGAATATAGATTAATCACGTTTTAATAAAGAAGAAAAACTTCTTTTTTCTGGCTAATTTTTCATGAAGAAGTAAATTTTTTCGGACAAATGTTTTCAAAATGGGAAAGAAAATAAGAAGAGAAAATGCTAACTTGTGACTCGAAACCGGCAGTAACCGGTCGGTTGAAGTGTGATCAAACTGGTAAAAAAGCGGTGTTTATCGGTCGGCTGAAAAGTTCAAACGGTCGGTCCGGTTCCAACTCTGATTTGTACTGTAGGACCGTAGGATTTCTTATAGTACAATTTTGGTACGGGTCTGATTATTTATCGGTCAGGTATCGTATGAAATCGTGCAGTATGATTCGTACAAAATCGTGTAGTAAAAACGTACATAAATTTTGTTTCCTCGCTGAGACAAGTGGGTTTTAGTGCGATTGTAAGGCTAATGAGAAAAGTATATGGCCATTTCCTTACAATTAAATTCAATCTCGGTTTTAATCCCGACATACAGGTAAGAAAATATGTAGAATTCAACACACATAGTCAGAGACGAAGTTTTCTCAAGAAGTTTTCTAGAAGGTGGAACCACGTGAGAAAGCTTTATGTGGAGCTGAGGAGTCTGTCTAGAGAAAACCTAAAAACAGTTACGAAGTTCGTTCTTGTATTATTCGAATGAGCTGCCTCCATTTGACTTACTTTTGTAAAACTTCACCTTGCTTTCAACTTACTGTGCTCGTTGCAAAAACTGCAGTTTTTATTCAAAGCAGATAAGTCATCAAACGAAAATTATTTCGCACGCTGTAGATAAAAGCTGAATTCCAGGGAACAAATATATAACTTTCGACGGTTTATCCAGCCATCTGAAAAAGAATGCTTGAAATTTTGTCGTAGTCTCAGAATATTCAATTAGAAAAACCCGATAAACGGAATAATGAGGTGAAAAAAAAACCGGATAATGAGGTGCGATTGTAGCTTGGAAATTTTTGATTAAAATGCGACGTCTCCCAGCTCTACATGATCTTTCATTGCAAAGTTATAGAGTTTACAAGAAAAGCCCTAAATGTTCATTGTCAGCTCACAGCTACAGGAATAAGAAAAAATAAACTTAAGGCTTTTCTTGTAAACTCTATAACTTTGCAATGAAAGATCATGTAGAGCTGGGAAATGTCTCATTTTAATCAGGAATTTTCGGGCTACAATTGCACCTCATTAAGAAAGCTTTTAGTTATTCTCCAGAGTTTCTGGAAAACTGGATTTCTAGAAAACTCAGTCTTCCAAGACCTAATAGCAAAACCATTGTCATATTCGGATTCAGCACACCCGATTACCTATTTTCTAGCGAGTCTTAACCTAAAAGCGATTAGACAGTTGGTGTCCTTTCCTCGTAAGTGGGAAATGCTTTGGGAAAAGTGGAGGAACAATTAGTACGGAAATTGCACTTTTCGAGTGTCACACTAAACTGTAAAGTATTTTTTCCATCAAGAGATGATATTTCCACTGATCTATCGTTTGTCTGTTTTGATGAGGTTCTGGTAAAATATTTATTGAGTTCTGGATGCGGATAGGTGGCCACACTACGAAATCATATAAGTATTAAAGGTACCTAGTAGTGTAAAAAAATTATACTAAAAATATTTTTTTGATTTTAGATTTGTTTATAATTGCATTACCACACACTGTCCTGTTCCATTGACCTCATCGATAAACTTTTGTCAAAAATCTTTTAGTAATAGTTGCAATCCCATTTCTCTTTTTCCACACCATAAAGATCAGAAATACCATCGGAATTAAGATAAACCAGATTAATCTTCCGTGATGTATAACTGACCAAATTTTAATGAAAAGTTTAATGTCTCGAGTATGCTATGAACTACTCCTCAAATGTCTTAGTTGGTGTACATATTTTCTTTGTCATCTAGTACTACAATAGAATCCCATGTTGAACGAGCCAGTTGCATTTGTGATGAAATATACATTGGCCCAGTGGAAAACATAACGGTCAAAAATGGTATAATAAAACACCCATCAAAATATTTAATATCTCGAATCATACGATCGAGTAGTGGATGATGTTTTGTAGCTATAATAAATCCATTTGATACACCTATAGGAAATGCTTTTGAGGCTAATAGAATATGTGCTGTTGTTGATATTTTACTTTCTATATGCTGTATAATTCCATCGAACGGATGTAAACAATATAAATCCATACCAAGAAATACACCACCAAATTTATGTAATACAAAGTATCTTAATGCATCTGCCTTCTGCTCAATTGTGCCATATGAATCTCACGTATTGACAAATGATGGATAATTTTCAACAAGTAATTCTCGTCCAGAGGTATCGTTCCAATAATAATAATGTTCAAAATGAAAATGCATTGTAACACATGAATTTCTAGCTACAAGCCAGGGTTTTGGTGGATCTTCACTTAACGAACCGAGTAAAATATGATGCATATTACGTGAAACATATTTATATATAGTTTTTTCAGATGGAAGAGACCGTACATCGACTCTTAAATGACAGGGGCGTGAAAATGGCCAAGTTATATAGCAATTGACCATTGCCATTAAACAGGTAATATGTGCACGCAATAAGATGAGAATGATTAATACAATAACAATCGCTATATATCTTGTTCGTCTTCTTATCGTTGATTTAGATCGTTGATTTTCATCTACAATGTCAGTTTCTGTTTGATAATATGGTAATGAAATATCGAAGAATGTTGATGCGGATGTTAATGATGACAAAGAACTGGCAAATAAAGGAGAAAATGTTGGTAGTGCAACAAATGAGTGATTAAGAGCCATTTTCTCAAAAGTTCACGTAGACAGCGGCAGTTGATATCATCGGTAGAGTGAAATTTGTACCATTTATAGCTCTAGATTAGACTAGTTTATGGTTAAAATGAAACCCTAGAAGCAGATTTGTTTTGAAAATTTTACTAAATTGAACGAAATTTCAAACTTGTAGTTTTTAGAAAAAGGTTTCTTGGAAAGTGGTTTTGAAAAAATTAAAATTATGTAAATTATTATGTAAATAATTATTATTCATCAAATTATTATGTAAATTATTTTTATATGTAATTCGATAGCTCTATCCTATGATGATAAAAAGAAATAGAAATTTTTGCTCAAGTCTTGAATTGCAGGTATTTTAAAATTTTCAAAACTAGAAATATTTCGTTTGACTAAAAAGTGAATTACACCGTGAAAACTTGCGATGCAGTGTTCCCCATTTATGAACCTGTTATTGACTTGACCGAACCTGACAGAATCTCAGTTTTTCAACTTCTGTACTTCATAGCTCATGAACAAGGTAACTCAGAGCCTAAAACGTCTTTTGCCAAGTGTATGTCACAGGAGTTATTTGACAGAGAAAATTCGTCTTATTGAATCTAAGAAACAGAAGCAATAATGAAATTCAGGTTGCTCCGAATCTAAGCATAATAAAAATGATGTTGTGTACTTTTCAGACGGATAACTCACTCTTTCTTATTCAAAAACTAGCCGACCAGATATCCCGTGAAACGCAGAATTATGTCAGTTTTTTGCACCTAAAAGAATTCCAGAATTCTTTAGCTTCTTCTGTGAAATATTCAAAACTTTCCGTGGCAAAATACCATAAAATTCATCAGTATGAAAACACAATATAGGCCTGATTTGTCATTGCTAAAATCTTATATGTGGTGTTAGATTCCAGCTAAAACCTCGGCGTTACTATAAACTTCAAAGAGCCTAAGTTATACTGTGATGTTGTCCGTCTGAGCACAATGGTCATGTGGTAAGCAGTTTTCTTGTTTTGCTTATGTTACGTACGTTTGTATAATGTCTGATTTGGTCTGTTGGTCAACTCTGGAGTGTGTGCTGCAAGGTAAGCGAACAGAAGCTGAACAGTTTTTATCATTCACCTGCGGCTATCATTAATAAGCGATCAGCACCACTACAAATTAATCAAAAACAGCGAGGGCCGTTTTTCTATAGAAAGCAGCCCCGCTCCTTTGTTCACATGTAACTTTTGGCTCCTGCGTTCTTGTAGGGTGAAAGAAATTTTTTGAAAGTTGATCCGTTAAGAAAGTAAATTTTTCACTATTTTCGATTGTTTTTACTTACCAAACGTGTACGCGTTCTCGAACCATTACATTTTTTCACACAAGTGAAAGTCCAGGACGTTTTTCTCTTGCCGCTACAACAAGCAATCCCATCTTATATATAATTACATTAAACAACACACATACATATATATAGCATTAAATTCGTACAACTTTGGTAAGTAAAAACAATCGAAAATAGTGAAAAATTTACTTTCTCGAAGAATCAACCAAACATAGTATGTGAAAATGAATGTAGATACTATCAGCTATCAGCACCACTACAAATTGATCAAAAATAGCGCGGATTATTTTCCTATACAAATCACAGTGAGTGGGATTTTCATAGCGTAAAAGGTGAGTTCTGATGAAGAAAACTGCAAATTACGGTATATAATTCCGACTTATAACATCAAAAACAGCGGGACCGTTTTCCTATATAAGTCACCTCCGCTCCTTTTGAGAGTGGCTGATTTCTTAAAAACACGTCCCCGTCCTTTAGAACAGACACAAAAAGCTTTAAAAACGGAATATTCTTAATTTTGAGACTTAACGATAAAAATTGTCCAGTTTCTATTCTCTGATCTTGTAGCACACGCTCCAAAATTGACCAACAGACCAAATCAGACATTATACAAACGTACGTAACATAAGCAAAACAAGAAAACCGCTCACCACATGACGGACAACATCACAGTATAACTTACGCTCTTTGAAGTTTATAGTAACGCCGAGGTTTTAGCTGGAATCTAACACCACATATAAGATTTTAGCAATGACAAATCAGGCCTGTATTGTATTTTCATACTAATGAAAAACATACATATTTACCATAAAACATCCTGTAAGCTTTGATTCATGACTGGATTGGTTTAAACTTTTATTTTGTTGCCTTGCATCGCACCATGAGTCTAGACTCATAAAAGCAACAGTTACACAATTAAATTACAGTTGATAGCTGAGAGTGGAAGAGCCAATATATAGAAATGTTGAATAAAATAAAAAAAGAAAAGAAGAAAAACAGAAAGAAAATTTTAAAAACTGAAAACAGAAATATACACAGAAAAAAACTTGCTTCAGAGAAAAAAAAACGAAGAATGTTCGAGTGAAGACACGAAAGTTTTTTTTTCTTTTTGGTTTGTTAATTATTTATACCAACTGGAGGATGTTGAATGAAAAGATTCCCAAGCATGAAAACGTAAGAGAAAATATCTAAATATACTCGCATGAATATCGCCCGATTCTCCATCAAAAATATCTAAACAGTAAAAAATATCGGATTAGCTGGCTTACTAAAAGCGTTTTGTTTGTTCAATAAAAGGTACTACAAAAATAGGCAAATACCAACGCTTGTCACGTTTAGTTTTTTTAACATCGATTTTCAAAAATTCGCGGA